TGGTGGAGGCATGTTGGGAAGGAAGGAGGGAGGGAGAGACATGACTTGGTACCCTGTCTTCCCTTCACTCCTGCACATCACCTTCCTTCAGCCGCACTCTGCACTGCCTCTTGTCCTCATTCTTCCTTGGGTTTGCTGCTCCTGGGCCCCATTCTCTGGTCTACCTGGGTGTCTAACCCGCTCCCATGCCTGGAGCTACCACCCGCAAATCCATGGCTTTCAAGACTTTTTCCCCTGGGTAGTGAGCAGATAACTCAGCCTTAGCATGTCCTCAATACAGTTCATCCCTCGCTTTCTCACAGAGCTGCTCTGCCTCCTGTTATGTTTCTTAGGAGAGCAGTAAAAGGCTGTTCATTCAGACTCTCACGCTCAGAGGCTGGCAGTCAGCCTGGACTGCTCGCCATTCTGCTCTCTCACCTCCTATTGATTCTCCTGCAGAATTGTCTCTTGTTTTATAATACAGTGCCCCAGTTTTATCTCTTAACCTCTTGGCTGAATAACTACTTCAATCTAAAGGCTCTTAGATGTGGTGTCTGACACATCTAAGTGTGAATCCTGACTCGACTGCTTATTAACTGTGTGACCTTTGGCAGGTTACTTAACATCTAAGCCTCCGGTCTATAAAACAGACACAATAATATCTAGTTCCTGAGATTATTTTGAAGGTTACAGTACTGTGAGCTACCTCATCTGGCACACAGGAATCACCGAGTCAGTGGTATTGCATTCTTTCCATGTGACCCCAGTTTTTGTGTACTCTAGGGCTTCCTTCAAAATACACTAGAGTTATGTTTCTAAATAACACACAGTTCCTATCATTTTCCTCCTGTTTGTTCGTCATTTCTTAGAGGAGTGAGCAAGGCCTCCTCCACCTCATCTGCACACTGCAGAGCCTCGCTTCCCATCTCTCCTCCTCCTCAGTTATATGACATTTTTTTCACCACTTCAAATATGCCGTACCCTTTTACCGTCCCAGGCAGCAGACTCGCTGTTTTGTCTTTTCACGTGTCTTCCCTACTCTCTTTAACAATTAAAAAAAAAAAAAAAAGAACCTTATTAGTAGGTATTTGTAGTACTCCCCTCTCCTCCTTCCTCCATCTCTTAATCCCCTTCCGATTTGAGAAAGATCTATCTCCTTACCTCCTATGACTATTTTCTATCCTACTCTTTATGTTTTGAATTTCTTCTATAAGAGAAATCAATGTGATATTTGAGCTTCTCTGATTTATTTCACTTAATATTATGTTATGGTTTAATGGTGCATCCATTTTCCTAAAACAACTCGTTTATGGCAGAGTAGTACTCCATTATATGTAAATGTCACTTTTTCTTTATCCATTCATTGGTTGATGGACATACAGGTTGCTTCCAAGATTTAGCTATTATGAATTGTGTTGCTATAAACATGGGAATGCATATATCACTGTTACATGATGCCTTTAACTCTTTTGCCTTTCCTACTCTTTAACCGTTTATTTATTAAGGTCCGATCTTCCAGGAAGTTGGCCAGGTCCTCCAGTGAAAGGTCCTTTTTCTCCATGCTTGTGACACTTGTACGTAGCTTTGTAATAATACAGAATTTTTACCTGTCTGTATTTGCTGCATTAGACAACATGATTCTCTAGGGAAGGATTGATCTTCTGATCATTGTCATAGTCCGGAGCCTGGCATGATAGAGTGCTTGGCATTTGGTGTCATTCAGTCAGTGGTGAGTTGTGAGTAAAGTGTCCTAGAGACAGTTCAAAGAGGACCTCCATAAATGTCCTCAGTTACCAGTACTTTTGGAAGAAGGGCATGTCTTTCCAAGTTGTCTTTTTTTTTTTTTTCCTTTTTTTTAAATTTTATTTAAGGAGAAAAGAAAAAAAAAGCAGGGAAAGGGTACAAGTTATACAGATTTACAGAAAAAAATGAACAGTAGGAAATCACTAGTTAATGGATTACATATTGTCATCTTAGAAATAATTGTTCAAGTCACAAAATTAAAGCTTGTAAAGTGGACATTCCATCAATGATACTGCAAACAGTTCTGTTCATTGATCTAATAAAACTCTGTGATATCATTTTCTATCTTATACACTTAAATATACATGCAGTTATATAGTTTAGAGCACTTTCTTTTCCTCTCTTTTGTACCATGACTATTACACATTTTGGGTTTCATTGCTCCCACGGTTCTTATTACTTTTTTGGAAGAGAGTAAAACCAAATGTGACATAACAGAACAGAATCGGTCAAGTCAAAATCCAAGTTGTCTTTAAAAGGACAGTATCAATGTGGTGGTGGTTTTATTATCTGATAAGTTTATAAAGAAGCCTTTGTGATTGATTCGTAGACAGGAAAGGCACCAAACTTTGTTGAACTGTTCCTTAGGATGAGAAATCTGACATCCCTATAATTGGAACCAGATCTCATCTATTCAGAGAGCATGGCACAGGCTGGAGGCAGATGGCATCTTTGAGATGTCATTTACATTAGTCATAGTGAATGAGCTAAAAGGAAGGACAAGAAAGGAAAAAAAAAACTCCCTTTTCATCTCTGCTTGGGTGACAAAGGAACCCAGAATGAGAAGGAAATTGGCTTTATGGGCAACCCAGGTAGAAGGTGAGGGCTGAGATTTTTTTCCTTTTGGACCATGTGGGCAGCTAACACTGGAGGATGTCTCAAGCTCAGGGGCTTTGGAGGACCAGAGAGGAAGGGGCCAGGAATATTTGTGGCTTGTTCAGGCTGATAAAAGATTGGTGCAACAGCATCTCCAATGCTGTGCCATCTCCAGCTACCTATGGAGGCGGACTGATAAGTTTATTGATCTCTTAGATTACTCATGTCCTCGGCTGATATATTTCTTTGATTTTTAAATTATGTATGTCCAAGGAGAAACACCGATGTCAAGACACAAGGATTCTTTACACAGTTAATAGATGCTCCTCTCATATCTCTGTGAGCTTGTATGTTTTCCTTTCTCTGCCTCAATTCATTTTCTCTAACTATAGGTGACCTGGATTTTATTAAGGACAGGTAATGTGGGACACTGAATCTAGGTAATACTGTGATGGAGTGCTGTATAGGAAATATGTAACATCTTCAGTGGGCAGAGAGATCAGTAGATCAGGCCAGTCCAAACAGGGCACTGGTTCTGAGTACGGGAGAAATGAGTTAACTGTACAAATGCCAAAGGTGTAGGCTCTTTTCTCTTTCCATTTGAATGCTGAGAAGACATATACTAGAAGGCAGGAGCAGAAGTGAGTAGTTACTTTCTGAATAATTATCTTTCTCGCTCTTCTGAATGGAATCTTTCCTTGGGTTTCCCAGAAGACAGAACCAGAGGCAAGGCGCTTATTATATAATAGGAAAGAAAAATCTCAGGAAATCGGAGTGGGGACCAAGAGAAGTTGCAAAGGGTAAGGGCAGCCTGATTGCACTGTTCTCACCAAGTATGGGAGATTATCCCATCAGCGTGACAGCATCCCAAGTCTTTGTAGACTGCTCTTTAGGGAAACCAAAAGACCAAAAAGAAAAGAAGAAAACAAAATCAAAAACGAAACAAAAACACCACAAGGGGTGATAGAAATATATAGTGAATAGTTAAATTTAATAGTTATCATAAAATAGGCACATTGCCCTTGATCTCCTGCTAAATGCTTTCACTTCAAACAAATTTAGCCTGTCATCCTTGCCAGTTTCTGAACTAGTTTTGGAAATCTTTTGTGAGTGTCTTTACGAAGTGTGATCAGAAATGCAGTGAATCTCCTGCTCAGTGCCATCCTTGAACAAGCAGGCTTGCAAAAACTCTAGGATGTATCCTTGTCTACATTATTTACTGGCCCTGGGATCGTGTGACTTCTGGTTCTTTCCTAAAGTCAGCATGACCTTGAAAAGTAAATGTTTTAAATTGACTCAGGATGTGCGTGACAGCACAACTAAAGATACTCATGAAAGTGGCAAGAACAGTGGGATAAGTGGGTTCTAATTAAAGGAGAGGGTTTTGAGACAGATTAATGGCACTCTGATGTCTAATAATATTTTTTAAAAATGTAAACATTCACTGTACTTTTTGGTCACACCTCATATTTCTTTTTAGATAAAATGAGAATTCTTTTTTCCAGTGAAGACAGAGTACCGGCTTCTATAGGCAAGGTTTTTTTTTTTTTTTTTTTTTTTTGATGCTATTATAAATGAGATTGTTTTCTTAATTTTATTTTGAATCGCTCAATTTTAGTGCATAGAAATACAACTGATTTTTACAGATGAATTTTGTGTCTTTCAGCTGAACTCTTTTAGCTTTAACAGTTTTTAAATGTTTGAATTCTTTAGGGTTTTCTATATTTAAGATTATATCACTTACAAATAGAGAAAATTTTACTTATTTTTAAGAAATTTGATTTTAAAGAAGTGAAAAGCTAGACCCTCCTCCTGCCTGGACAACTTCCTAGGTGGTTGGCTGAGTGGGTGCACTGGGAACTGTGTTACCTCAGGAAGCCAAAGCCCTGATATTGTTTCTCACGTGTAGATGGGATGTATGCAGAATGTTTAAAAAAAGCAGAACCCTAAGAAGTCCTGGCTTCCTAATAGACCAGGATTACATGCCTCCAGTCAGAGGTGTCTCAGGACTTCATGGGGGAATTGTAGTTCCTCTCAGGTTGCTCTTGGAAAATGGTTCCGTGTGGTGCCAAGTGTCATTTCCCTCCCGCGAGCATCGATGCCTTGAGTGAGTGAGTGCCTCCGGACTCAGCTGAGGCCTCCTTCCATCCCACGAGTGGAACGCCAGTGGCATCCAGTGGCCTGTCAGGCTAATCACAGGTTGGAGTTCTTTACTGTCCTTCCCACCTTTCCCAGGAAAGGGCCTGGTTCATTCATCAAAGAGAAGTTATGTGATTGGCCTGGAATCACAGCATGAATGGTGCTTAGCAGACATAGCAGGGGGACAGGTAAACTGATCTCCAGTAGGAGTTTTCCAAGCCCATTGATGCATTTTATGAGTTAACTCTCTTTTTCCATTCTAGAAATAATGACAGCAATTAATAATGTATCAGTGTTTAACAACACTTGTCTGAGGTGGCAGATAAGCTCAGGAGGGATAAACTCCAAGATCATATTTATGGTAAGTCATGTGACCCACCTTTTTTTCCTGCTAGAATGGAAATTGTAAACCCGTGGGATTAGGAGTCAGGATTGGCTTCTGTAAGGGCCTTTCATTTTCATTGCTTTCCAATTCTGTTACTATTTTAGAAAGTGAAGGGGGTTTTTAAGATATCCGAATTGTTTGTTATTTTGCACTTCATGTTTTAGCAAGTGGTCACTGGACATGGAGTGTGTGTGTGTGTGTGTGTGTGTGTGTGTGTGTGTGTGTGTGTGAGGAGGGAGGGCTTTGTACTTGAGGTGACCATCATTGCTTATTCCAGGCACCTGTATTTCACTCTCCCATAGCAAGCCTGGGAACATCTGCTGACTTGGTGACAGAGTGCACAGGTGGTCTTGATTGTGACAGCCTCCATTTACTGAGGATCATTTGTGGGCAGGCTGGTGCTTCCTGGAGCGTCCTGCTTTACCTCACTTCTTAGGGTTACTGGTCCCGTGCTGATTGTGGCAGTACAGGGAAGGAGAGAATGGTATGATAATCAGGCTCCAGTTCTTATTGTTCTGACTAGAGCTGTGGTGGACTCTCTTGTCTTTTCTCATCCTGAAGATAAACATAAAAGGACAGCGGTCAGACCCAGTGGAATCAGTTCACGAAGAGACAGTCAACTTGACCACAGACAGCAGGACCCCAGAAGTGTGTCTCACCCTGTACCAAGGCACCAGCTACACTGTGAACATTTCCACTGCTCCTCCCAGGCGCTCTGTGCCCACTGTCCTCGCTTTCCAGACAGCTGGTAGGTGGAGCTTGGAGACTCGTTTCCTTCCGGCAAAAGCTCAGCACAGGATATGGCAATAAACTTCGCATCAGCTGGGCAGCAGAGTTCCTGTTTTCCATCTGAGATCTGTGCTTGGGGGTGTGGAGCTGCTCCAGGGGTTGGAAGCAGCATGGGGAGATGCTTGTTCTATCAGCAGCAGGCTGAACGACTCTGGTGGGCACTTTCTTGCCCTTGCCTGTGAGGGAGGAGGAGTCAGGGAGGCTGACCCAGCAGCTTCACATCCAGGATGGGAGCTGACCCCAGGACTGATGAGGTCAGGAGTGGGTGAGTGGAAAGAGAGAGGCAGCCCTAGGACATAGGAGGGTCAGTGCTGGTTAAAAAAAGAAGTGGACCCAAAGCTTTAAGAAGTAAGAATAAACTTTATTGCACATACTTTCATGTGGATTTTTTAAGCAACATTGCAACAATTACAGGAAGTTTATTTTTTTAAAAAATATAATTCTTATTTAGTAATACACACAAGCCTGGAAAAACTATAGGTCTCATTTATGAGTTAACTAGCTCTTTGATGTCCTACTTAAAATCTGTGGTACTGGGTGTGGTAGCACAGACAGGTAATCTCAGCTATTCAGGAAGCTGAGACAGGAGGGTCACAAGTTGGAAGCCAGCCTGGGCAGATCCTGTCTTAAAATAAAATAAAAAGTGCAGTGGTAGAGTATTTGCCTAGCATGGTCAGAGCCCTGGGTTCAATCTCCAGTACCACTTCCTCTCCAATATATGTTTCCCAAATCTTAGATATTGCTATCACTAGGTACAAAAATTACAGAAATAACTAAGAAAAACTGCCAGTATTTTTTTTCTTTTAGTACTGGGAATTGAACTCAGGATCTTGTGTCTGCCAGGCAGGCACTGTGTCGCTGAGCTGTATCTCTGGCCCAAGTCTGCCAGTTTTTTTTTTTTTGTTGTTGTTGTTGTTGTTGCTGGGGGTCCAACTCACGACTTTGCATTTGCCAAGCAGTACTTACACCGCTGAGCTAAACCCCTGAGCTCCTAGTCTGCCAGTTTTAATAGCTATGAAACCAAGTATGAAATTACACAAATTCACAAATTAGGCCTCAGTATTTATATATAAAATAAAATAAAATTATTTTTAAGTAAATATGTAGGAAAGTTATAAATTAATATGCAACTAAACTTGATCAAATTAATAATAAACTACAATGGATTTATAAGGATATATGTTCTTGAAAAAAATCATCACAGGACCTCAAACTCATCTGTCATGTGAGTCAGAATGACAGCTTGCTGTTTAGTGTCAGCTGTTTTTACTGCTGATTAGCTCCTCAAGTCACTTCCCAGGCAGTGCAAGCTAGTGTTTTTTTTTTTAAGAAGAGAGAAATACAAATTTAGGAATCATAGAATAACTGGTGTTAGATAGCCTATCATCCCAATGAAATAGACATTTTAAGGAAAATACAAATTATATAAATTACCTCAAGAGTATCTAAGAAACAAAAACTGATCAAAGATCAGGGAAGAAACCGACCAAGTTGTCAAGGAATCATCACCGCCTAAATGACCCTAGGAGCAAATCTGTCCAGGGTTAGTGTATGTGTTGCCGAAGCAAACACCTGTCCAGGTTTAAAGAAAGGGATAATTGGGGCTAGGTATTTAGCTCAGTGGCATAGGTGCCTGCCTTGCAAGCATGCAGTTGTGAATTCAATCCCTGGTGCTAAGAAAAAAAAAAAAAGAGGATAATTGTTTTCTAGGGTGAATAATATATACACACATACACACAAAATACATATATACACAAATATACACCACAGATATATGAACTTCTGAACTTCCCATCACATTTTAAGGGGACTAGGATGACCCTGGTAAAGAAATCAACTGACAAAATGCACAGGATCCAGGGGAAGAGGTTGACAACAGTGCATAAACAAACAGGAGGATGGGAACAGATGTTAAGTAAAGATAAAAACATTCTTGGCTCCCAGGTCTGACTCCAAAGACCATGTTTTTTCCAGTAGAAATTCACTTGGGGAATAATCAGATATCAGTGTCTTGTTTGCTAATAAAATCCTTAGTGCTTCTTTCTGTCTTCTAGATTTGGGTTTTAGCAGACTCCCTCAGGCACTGGTACACATTTTCTTTGTCCTTACTTTTAAGTCATGATAGAATTGGTATCAGATTTTCCTTTTGGTTCAAGAATTATGTATGAGTATGTTAATATGCATTCTCTTTATTCTTAGTTTCAAAAAATTGTACTGATTTTTCCCTTCTATTGAGGAGTTAATTTTTTTTTGGTACTGAGAGTCAAGCTCAGAACCTTGTGCTTGCCAGGCAGGTGCTTATGCCACTGAGCTATAGCCCCAGCCTTGAAGAGTTAATTATAATTGTGACATAACAGTGGTATTTTCTTTTTAATATTTGTATGTTGTTAATAATTTCTAGTTTAATATGCTTTGGGAAATTTATTGACATTTTCTTGGTTCATTTTGGCCATGTTTTATTATTACTGGATCATGCAGTGGAGCATTTGGATAGAGGTGGTATAAGATACAGTGTTAAATCAACTTTATTAATAAAGTTTCTACACACTTCTGTACTTATTTATGTAATGAACTGTCATTTTTCTCAATTTCCCTTATACATTCTAAGTGGCTTGTTTCATACATGCTGATGTTACATAATTAATGTTCATGACATCTTAATTATAGATGCTTTCACTAGTAGCAAATGGCTCATTTTATCCTTTTAAATACTATTTGCCATAGATTATATGTAATATTATTTTCTCGATTTCTTTGTGTTTATACTTACATAATGTGCTTTTGTTTCCTTTTTCCTTCTTAAAAGCCCTCTAGATAATACTGCTTTATGTGTACTCTAGGTTAACATACACGGAGAATCTTTTTGAGGAAAGTTTTATTCATTTTGACAGTGGTCTGACTATGTAGTCCATGGTGGCCTTGAACTTGCTATGTAACCCAGGCTGTCCTTGAATTCACAGTGGTCCTCCTGTCTCAGCCAGTGATCCGTGCTGGGATCATAGGCATGGGCCACCATGGCTGGCTTATTTCTGCTTTTGTCAACCAGTTTCCTCTCTGCTATCACATTCTCATTATCTTATCCTGTATCTCTCATTGAATTAGGTTGTTAAATGTTTTTGCTAAAGGTACAAAATGAATGCTCCCATGATATTACCATCACTTTGCTCACCACTCTTTTCAAAAGTATACTCATTCTGTGTTTCCTAAGTGTGATCTGCCCCACTTTGGGGGAATCATATTTTAGGCTGTTTTTTGGGGGGCGTGGAGGACAAGGTGCTTCCAGATTACTTACCCTGGGAAAATAAAGATATGGTAGGTCTCATTTCCCTTATAATAAAATGGATAGCATTCCCTTTGATCTCACTTTTTTTGAGGATAATATTAGTGTGCTTATCTCTAGTCTCTTTGTGAAGGATTTACTGTTGATTGGGTGAGCCAGCCTCCTTTGGAGCAGCTGCCTGAGTTTTCCTCTGAGCTTGGTGCCATCTTGAGTGGTGAAGCTGTTAGCCTTGGGCCAGTTGCTTGGCTTTCTTGTGTGGCTGTAGCCTCCCAAGGCAAGAAAGGGACAGGTCTTTGTATTAACCTGGCTTTCTGTCTGGAGGGACTTCCAGGTTCCAAGGTCTCTGTCGATGTCCGCTCCCGGCCGGCAGGAAGGACACACGACAAAGTCTGGTAGTGGACAACCTTTTCTTTTTATTTTCCTTCTCCGTACAGCCTGCCCTGGGTTCTCCCAGCTGAAGCCTCCTCTGGTCCGCTCCCCGCGGCTCCTTTTGTGCTTCAGTCTGCCCCAAAGCCTCTACCGGTCCGCTCTCCGCGGCTCCTTCTGGGCTTCTACTTCCGGGCTTCTACCTGGCTTCTTCTTCCGCCCAGGGGTGGCACCGGTATATATACGGGTACAGTGTCCAATCATGTTAAAGTAAGCAAGGCAAGCTGATTGGCTAACATCATCAGTTGCCAGGCAGACTATATTGTTGAGCGGGTTGTTTACGCGGTAAGCAGGAAACTAACATATTCGATGGGAGGGGTAATCTACCTCAGGCTTTGCTCTTTACCACAGGCCGCACGTCCACCGCGCAAGGCGAGCTATCACAGACGCGGCTCCCAACATCTCCCCCTATTTTATTTTTTATGAATGTGCGCATCGTAGCCCTTCCTGGACTGGGTGCAGAGGCTTATGCCCTATGTGTAGGCCCACCGTAGGTCCTTGGCTTAGACCCTGGTTGGCCATGCCATGGTCTGCCAAGGCCCTGAGGCCCTCGTCCTTTTTCTAGGGCCAGGCACAAACTGGACGGAACCTGGATGCACACAAGCTTGCACTCATTTCCTCTCCGTAAAGAAATCCCCTCGGAGAGAAATTTAGACCTGGGCAGCATCTAACAGTCCAGCGGCTTACGTGCAGGATGGGGTAGGGCCTGGCTTAGGTCGAGTCGTGCTGGGGAGGCACGCTCTTACCCGTCATTGACTCACCTACCCTGCTGTGTATTGTCACCTTATGGAGGAGAATGAGGGATGCCCGCCATATCTAGACTCGGTCGTGGGCCAATTGAGCAAGCCATGCATATGCCTGAGGATCTTCTTGTCTATTTCGGGCTACCGCTATTTCTATTCATCTTATTGGTTGGTCTGTGATGGATCTCCAGTAGGGCAGGTCTGATCTTCAGTCGAGGGCTTTGTTGCCCGTGTCAGTCTCTCCGGTATCCACAGTGGTTCTCGTCCCGGTTCCTGTGGGAAAACACAAACCGCGCCTCGGTTCCAGCTGACCACTGGATCCGGGCCCATCCATTGTCCTGTCAGGACATCTTTCCACTTCACCCACCCTTTATGGTTGGGGGAAGGGTTGCAGTGCTCCACAGCTGGGGAGCGATTATCATTATTTAAATTTAAAAAATTGTGTGTGAATAGTGCCATGGATAATCGTGCCTTTGGGGCCAGGCCTTGGCCTACTCCCCCTTTTTGTTTTTTATTTTTATCTTTTTCGGTTTTTTTTTTTTTTTTTTTTTTTTTTTTTTTTTTTTTTTGGTACCAGGGATCGAACTGGCGATTGCCTGCTTACAAGGCAGGCGCTTATGCCGCTGAGCTAAATCCCCAGCCCCCATTTCCTCGACCGGCGTTTTTCTCAGCCTGCTCGGCAGAGAACTCTGTGTACCAGGCTCGCCAATCCAGGTAACTGCCCGAGGGCAGACACGCCTTTGCCAGCTGAATCCAGTCCGCGGGGGTGAGGGGCCCAGAAGACAGATTCTCCAGCATGGCAATGGTGTAAGGCGCAGTCGGCCCAAAGGTTGTAACTGCATTTTTAAGTTCTCTAATCTGCTTTATCTCAAAAGGCTCCCATACATTGCGTCCCTGGCCCATAGCTACTTGTACAGGAAATATCCCGTAGGGGCCACTATCTATCCCAGGTGGATGTACCTCATGAGACAAGCGTCCCCCCTGCCAAAGCCGCCTGTAAAAATACCGACCCGCCGGCGGCGGAGCATAAGACAGCGGCCGTGATTGGGCGGAAAATGGGGGCCCGTGCATCACTTCCTGTTCTGGCGAAAGGGGAGAGAGCTCCCAGGCGGCCGCCTCGTGGCGAGGAATCGCCTCCGGAAACGGCCCCCAAGGTGGGGTGGAAGGCTTCGCCTCCCTCTCGCGCCGGGGAGCGCTCAGGAGCTCTCTACTCCTCCGCAGACCAGGTTGAGCAGAGCGCAATTCGCGGGGCAACGCTGGAAAAGAACCCTGCGACTCCTTATTGAGCGACTTAGGCTCCTGACAGCTGGTCTCTTTGGCCTCCTTGCCATTCAACTTTCCCTCGTCCTCGGAGTCAGACGACTCCGAGGCTAGAGCCCCGTCCTCCTCCTTAGCATCCTTGTTCCCCTTGACGGACCCCTCTCGGGAGCTCCCTGACTGGGCCTGCTCAGATACCCTGCGTACTTTTGTAAGCTCTTGAGAGCTTTCTCCACAACCACCCTCGCTCTTAGTGTTGCTACCTAACATGTTTCCCATCTTTTAATATGTTACTCACCGCGTGAGGCCCAAGGAATCCGCCACTTACGCGTGAGCCTGAGGGGAGTCTAAAAGCCCTGTAGGTGCGCGCCACCCAGAGCCCAGGCTTATCCCCAACTCACCTGTCTCGCAGCTCTGTACTGGAGCGTTGTCCACTTCCACGTCTCGGGGGTGATCAGTCCCCGTACGGGCCACCATATGTCGATGTCCGCTCCCGGCCGGCAGGAAGGACACACGACAAAGTCTGGTAGTGGACAACCTTTTCTTTTTATTTTCCTTCTCCGTACAGCCTGCCCTGGGTTCTCCCAGCTGAAGCCTCCTCTGGTCCGCTCCCCGCGGCTCCTTTTGTGCTTCAGTCTGCCCCAAAGCCTCTACCGGTCCGCTCTCCGCGGCTCCTTCTGGGCTTCTACTTCCGGGCTTCTACCTGGCTTCTTCTTCCGCCCAGGGGTGGCACCGGTATATATACGGGTACAGTGTCCAATCATGTTAAAGTAAGCAAGGCAAGCTGATTGGCTAACATCATCAGTTGCCAGGCAGACTATATTGTTGAGCGGGTTGTTTACGCGGTAAGCAGGAAACTAACATATTCGATGGGAGGGGTAATCTACCTCAGGCTTTGCTCTTTACCACAGGCCGCACGTCCGCCGCGCAAGGCGAGCTATCACAGACGCGGCTCCCAACAGGTCTCCACTTAGAAGTTCTTCTGTGTTATGGATCTCTAGGGTGCTGAGGAATTATTGTCACAGTGGACTCTTGATTTATAAACTCAGTTTGTTCCCAAGGGCTGTTTGTAACTTAAGCTCTCAACTCAAGGCTGAGGCTCCTCTACACATCCTTCAAAGTCTCTGTCCTATACACAGGCAGATCTCAGTGTCCTTAGAGAGACATTGGCCCAGGATTCCTCCATTAACCCCAAAAGAAAAAGGTGGTATGAAGTTCCTTCCAAAACTCTTTAAGGCTTAAATCTGCACCTGAGACCATCTGGAAACACAAGTGGCCAGCATCTGGGTTATAACTCAAGACTTTGGTTGCAAGTTAAATCTAAAATTTCAGTCCTAACCCAAGTTGTTCGTATGTCAGGCCAGTTGTAACTCAAGCATCGATTGTGTTTGTAATAGTAGTGTTTTCACTTTTGGTCCTGACTGCCTATCAGAATTGCCCAGTGACTTTTAAAATAATGCAGATGTGTAAGCATTATTTCAGATCTGCTGTGTCTGGGTGATTCTGATGTGGAGTCACTGTATTCATCACGGATTGTCCTTGTGGACACTTCCTCTCTGGGTTTGTCTGTGGACTGCACTTCCTCTCCCTTCCTTCCCTTGCGATTTGGAGACCTGTTCCTTCACTTGGCAAGCATTTTGTATAGTAGCTCTGTGTTTCGCTGTAGTCTGGTCTCTTCCACCCTGCGCCAAGCAGAGATATCTTTATGTTTCAGCCTTGTGTGCGGCAACCAACCCAGATGCAAATTTTGACCTATTTTTATTTTTTTGCAGTCATTTCTGCCAGGATTGGGTGTAGGAAGTGGAAGCCAGAAGCCCTTGTTCACACTGCAGTCTGCGTGCAGACTACAATGGCTGTGTGATATGTGGAACTATGCAAATAACACTCCTGCTTATTTGTCTGTATGGCATTTCATGTGTACATTTCTTCCATACATACATTTGATGGGTGCTTCTCAAAATTACAAGCATATGTGTGGCTATTTTTCTCCCTGATGTCCTTATGAAACCTTTAAAATAAAAGTGGCGAGGATGAAGGAGAGCCCATATAACATTTTTTATTGACACTATATTTTTGCATTTTCTGACTATAGTCAGGAATATTTTCTCCCAGCTAATTGCCTTGGGCTGTATATGCTAGTATTATTGAAAATGCTGTGGATTAGTTCTGATTTTAACTAGAAAGATATTGTTATCATTAATACTTTGTTAGTGGCAGAGACTCTCATGGGAGAAATACACTAAAATAGCTTTTGGGGCCAGGGATTTAGCTTACTGGTGTAAGCTCTGCCTGGCAAGTGTGAGATTGTGAGTTTGATACCTGGTACCACCAAAGAAAGAAAAGCTTTTGTCTGGTAGACGCTTGTCTTTCGGGGAGGGCTGGGGGTATAGCTCAGTGGTACAGCATGTGCCTTTCCCCTCCCCCTCTCTCTTTTGCCTTCTTCCTTTTCCTTAACCCCTCCTATACCCTCCCCCTCCTTTCCTTCATACTGGGGACTGAACCCAGGACTTTCACACTGACCTATATACCCAGCTCTTTAAAAACATTTTAAAATTTTTTTGACACAAGTCTCTATCTCCCTAGAGATAGGGAGAGATAAGGCAAAAATCTAAGCAGAGTCAGATCATTTTGCACAGCCTCGTCTTAAACTTGTGGTCCTCTTGACCTAGCCTCCCGGGGGTGGTGGGCTTGTAGATGTGTGCCACCACATCTAGTTCCTGATGCGTGCTTTGCTTGTATGAAGATTGTAGTACAGTTCTGAGTACCAGGAAGAGAAGAGAGGGGAGGGGAGGGAAAGAGATCACATATTCTCATTGGTGGAAAATCAGAGGGTTGTCAGGAAATTTGCTTTTCCTTAAAAATTGCCATGTTACTCTCTTTTAAGTTGTTTAATTCATTGTAAGAAACCTTTTCTTTTTCAAAAAAATTGTTTTAAGAAACCTTTTCTTTATTGACTATGTAAAGAAAATGAAACACTGCAGGAATGAATCTGACAGTGGGAGTTATGAAATGGCTTTTTCTATACAGTGCTTGAAACAAGTCTGCCTTCTACTTATTTTATTGTCTTAGCTGAGCACAGCTGAGCTGCTTTTGAAAGGCTGTCTCATGTGAGAACATTATCTTCCTGCCTGTTCATTTTCTGCACTGGAAAGCACCTGACCTGAGACTTTATGGACTTTGATTTTTATTCATCTTTTTTGTTTATCTCAGACTTTCTGGTTATACATATTCTTACCTTCATGACAGTTTTCCAGGACCACCCAAATGATAAGATTAACTTTGACAAAAGTCATAGCTTTATTAACTTACAATAATACTTAAATATTTTTTTTTTTTTTTTTTGTTATCACAATAGCCTGTGGTATAAGCAAGGTGGATTATTTAATTTCACAAGTGAGGAAACAGACTCAGGAGAGGTCAGGAACTTGGGTGAGATTATACAACTAAAAGTGAAGGAGCCAGGACACAAAGCGAAATCTGCTGATGCCAAACTTTATGCTCTTCTTGCTAAAAAACCTACCAGTTCTCAGAGTTGCATTTGTATTTGGCCATGACGTTTTGCTAAGCTGATCTGACTTGTCTTATTTTTCTCTTGTCTTTTACAAGATGATCTCTTAGAAAATGATGGACTTTTCAATATCTCAATATTTAATGAAACATGTTTGAAATTGAAAAGGCATTCTAGGAAAGTTGGATCAGAACAAATATACCAGGTAAGAAGATCTCTGACACTATCCTTTAAGGAATTGGCAACTTAAAAATTTGGAATCCAAAGTATTTAAAAACTGCGGATGGAGTGCACTTCTAGATTGTTTGTGACTATTGTTTCTGTGGAAGGATGTGAGATGTGAGATGGGCATAAGTGAGGGATTAAATCAAAAGAAAGACAGTCTATTTGGGGACTTGCTATCATTTCCCTTGCCTGGTACTTCACACTTACATACACCTTATTTTGACATCAGATTTATATAAGGGCAAGGATTCTTAAGGAACTCACTGCAGGGTTATCGGTTCTCATTTAACTTATGTGTCTGTGTGTGTAATAATTTTTTAAATGAGAAGTAGAGACTACTGAGCCATAGAAAATGGATAGGATTTAGCCATTTACAAGAGCTGGCATGGGGGTAAAAGGGTATTATGCTTAAGTAAAATAGCATATTGTATAATAGACAAAACACTCACCTAGAAATAGGGAGAGATAAGGCAAAAATCTAAGCAGCAGTCAGATCATAAGAATTCTTCTGTGTTCTTCATTTACATTTGAATTTTAGTTTTATATCTATGGAGAGCCACTGATTTTCAGGTAGATTAGTAAAATTAAGTATGTAGGTAGGTAGGTAAGTAAAATATTTCTGTACTATAAATAAGCCCAGAGCTAGGAATGTATTCACGTAGCAAGTAATTTAAATCAGTAAAGACTGGAATGTTTATCCAATAAGTGGCTCAGGGACAAAGTTGATTAACTACTTAATTAATAAACTAAATTATTCTTCAAACCGTGCACTAAAATGACTAAAGAGTAAAATTGAACAAAATTGCTGTTTTTCAGGTTAGACAAAAATGAATTACTGTAACATGTGAGACCCTCTTAAATCCATAGGGAAATGTGAACATTCAGAAGTGCTTTGCATGAGAGAATCTTCATGTTTCCAAAACACACAGAAGCATGTGTTGTACCTCACTAGGAAGTGAACCGAAAGAGTAGGGCTCTGTGTGACCCTGGGGTGCAGCTCTGAGGATGATGCAGTCCAGGTGTGGCTGTGGCTGTGGGCGTCTGAAGTGTGGAGCAGAGGAAGTTCATAGCATAGAGCTCAAGGAACTCTGAGACCAAGTTCTGATGGTCTGTAAGGACAATTCCAAAATCTAAGAGAATCTGAGAAATTGAGGGCGAGAGGAATCCTTTTGAACTGGGTGTCCAGGACTTGTGCCCCAGTAGACTGATGGGCATGCATCTGTGATTGGCAGTGATAAGGAAGGATGGGGGGCAGGATGGCCAAGGACATGTGCATCAGTGGTAACACTAAATGCATGGTTCTGCCAGATAAAGTGCCTGAACTTGGCTGATCATGTTACTCCTGAGATCTCTGCAGAAGTGTTTCCTCTGTAACTCCCTCTATCTGTTGCCTGACTGGGGATGGTGGAGGATAATTGAGTTAGCAGTATGTGTGATGCCTCAATGGATCCGAAGCTCTTTTGCAGGAGCTCTCCTGAGAAAGATCAGTGAAGTACCATTGCACGGTTCTAAATGCATAATCTGAGTAGTCCTCATAAAGTTTAAGTATGCTGCACTGTGAGACTTGTCTATGAATTCCTCACAATGAGAAGAAATTAAAGGAATTTTACCCAGTAGGCCCAGTGCAATCTCTTTCACTTACATAGGCATTGAGGGATTACTTTAGAATAGCCTGGCAGCTTATTCCTCTGAGATATATTTATGTCCCTAACTTTCACCTGTTATGAAATTTAGTCTTAGTCCCACACTAAGGGAAATTGGAATAGAACAAGTAAGGTAGCTTTGTAAAGTCTGTTCCCAGTGTAGCTTACTTCTGCATTAAAAAATTCTAGGTGAATGAAGATAAATAGGAGGAACTCCCTTGCTTTGTCTCCATTTACTTATATCTGCAAACAACAGAAAATGTAATGCAACATTTCCTTTTAATCTCATGACAGTTTAAAGTCCTAGGTCAAAAGTGGTACCTGGATAACTTTTATCATGCAACATCGTTTAACTTTACGACAAGTGAACAAGCTGCACAAGTGTGTTTGGATCTGTATCCAGCAACAGACTATACAGTGAATGTCACCCTGCTGGGACCTCCTGAGCCACATTCAGTGCAAATAACAATGATGACTGCACCAGCAGGTATGTGTGGATGACCTGTTTTGTACCCAAAGACAGCGTCTGAACTAAACTGTGCAAAAGGGGCAGCATAAAGGTTGGGGATCAGGACACTTAGGTTCTAGTTCTAGCTCCCCTTTGTGGGAAGGAACACAGACTTCTCTGCTGTTTGTTTTGCTCTTTAATCTGTTGGGTGTAACAGACAAACTTATAGGCAACCAGGAGAAGGCGGTGGACAGTTCGACCTTTTCTTTTGAGCTATGATAAACACAAGACATAAATACTTCTGTTGTTTCACAATTTAGCAAGTGTAAGAATGATCACAAGAGCATATTAAAACATGGGCTCCTGTGCTTCATTGTAGAGGTTCTGATTCAGTCAGTCTAGGGTGAGCACCCAAAAATTTGTTCCTTGTAAACTCCCAGGCTTTGATGATCCTTGCAGTGCACATTTTGAGACCACTGCTTCAGTCACGTAGATCTAAGCTACCTGTGGGCAGTTTAAAGATCACAGATAGAGGTAGAATAAAAACTAAGGCAAAAAAAGTTATTGTTAAAATAATTCTGTCTGCTTAGGCCTTAGAAGCTTGTGTGTTAAAACTTTGTCTGGTTGGTAAAATATCCTGATAATTGGGTATCTACTTCATCTGTTCCTGCATTCCAGTTGCAGAGAATAGAGACCCTCCCCCTACCATCCCTTGGTAGTCTGTTCCCCACAGCAGCTCTTGTGTTTGTATTGCTAGTCCAAATGAGTATATCTACTTTGCACAGACAGAATCTGAGTTCTTTTTTAAAATTTTATTTAAAGAGAGACAGAAAAAGGGTAGAAATAATACATACTTTCAAAGAAAAAATAAACAGTAAGAAATCACTAGTTGATGATTACATATTGTCCTCTTACAACTAGTTGTTCAAGTTACAAAAGTGAAGCATACAAAGTAGGGATTCAAACAGCGAGACTGCAAACAGTTCTCTTCAACTATCCAACAAAACTTAGTAATATACTTATCAATCCTATACACTTAAACATGCATGCAGTTATCCATACCTTCATTTAATTAAGATTAAACAAACAAAAGCAGGCTAAAATCAACGAACAAAGAATAATACTATTGCTGGATTTCACATCATGACACTGTGGGATCAGCACTGGGTACTGTAGTGTCTCTTTTTCTTCAAAGTAGTTGTTCATTGCATCAAACGTTGTAAGATCAGTTCTCATAAACTGTTTATAGTTCTACACATGCATGAGTCTCAACATGTATTTCTATCCTTTCTATATTAGAGAGAGAAACAAAACAAAGCAAGACAAAACAAAACATATTCCTATAAACACATGAAACGAAAAAGTCATATAAAACCACTGTACAAGGTGTTCTACAATGGTTACTGTGTTGTCTCTTGTTATCTTCAATAGAATTGTCTATATTATCAGACATAGTATAATTGAATATAGGAGTACATAACAATATTAATAAAAACAAAACTTTGTAAAACTTCAAAAACAGGTAATAATCAAACCAGAATGGGTATTGATAGAATTGTGGCGTGGCTGAAAAGATAAGCAGTATGAAATATAAATGACCTTTATTTTAAGAATGTGGGGAGAGGACCCCCCCCCCACCCTCTGGGGTCCGGCATTCTCCCTGGGATTGGCGATCTCTCCCTGGGGTCTGGGAATCTCTCCTTCGGACATGTGGAGTGGGGGCATACATGTAGCTTAGGTTGGGGGTGGTGCCTGAGGGGCATTAGTGATGCGCAGATATCTCATTGGTATTCATTTCACGTCAGAGGCAAATTCCTAGGGGTGGGGAAGATGGAGCTCCTTGGTTCTGCCTCCAAGGCTTTCCAGCTACAGTGTCACGTCTGGGCCAAAATCCTTTCAGGTATCATAGTGAATCTTGTCATCTTCAGTGTAGTTGCCTATACTCTTAGACTTGATACTATCAATCGTAACAGTTTTGAATAAAATCTGTCAATACCAAACAGCAGTCAAACAAATCAGATTTAACTAAGGTCAGTCATGGTAAAACAGTGTAAGTTAAACAAGGCTTCAGATTAAGTTAATAGGAAATTAAGGATGATTACTGTTCTATATCCTGTTATTTTTGGGATAGCTGTCTGTGCCCTCAGATCTAGTGCAAGTAGACAAACTGGAACAGAATATAATCTATCTAAGCAGAGGGGTGTAAGTAATGTGGGTTTTCGTTTTTTTTTTTTTTTTTTTTTTTTTTTTTTTGTCTTTTTCATTTTTATTGGTACCAGGAATCAAACTCACGACCGCCTGCTTGCAAGGCAGGCACTTATGCTGCTGAGCTAAATCCCCAGCCCCATAATGTGGGGTTTTAAATCCTGATATACTATTAACAATATCCTCTGCCTTCTTTTTTAAGACTGTTCCTCCCCTTTCACTCCCCCAGGATGCACTGTGCATTTTTGGGTCTCACCATCTCCCTCAGTTTTTAGATTGGGTGGGGGGACCTGCTATTTACCTAAGTGGTTCCAAACCTTCTCCCTCCTGGACTTGATCTCAGGTTGTATTCCTTTACCTACAAAACCTGTCTTTTCAACCTATCTGCAGGTGCTGGTTGAGCTGCCTCTATTACTTTCTGGTTCCCTGTGACATAGAGCATTGTTTTCTCAGATTTGATTTTCAGTCCATAAACCCTTTTTCAGGTTAATTATATTTCCTATAAAGAGCATCTTGGTGGACCCTGTCTCCTGATCTACTCTGCCTGTGTTTCTCTCTTTTTTAAAAAGTGTATCAAGGCCATCTATATTAGAGATTATAGCCAACCTTCTCTGACTCATTTCTGTTGTGCTCATTTTCTGCCATTAGTTGTCTGATTTTCTCCTTCATTCCACTTTCTGTTCCATTCATAGAGGCCTCTCTGCCACTGTTCCCAAAATCCTGGTACTTTTCTCTGTCTCTCTAGAATGTCCCTCAGTATTCTCTGTAGAGTTGGATTGGTGGTCATCTTTGTCTTGGAATCATCTTGTTTCTCCATTAGTTTCTAGAGACAGTTTTTCAGGGTACATCAATCTGGACTGGAGGTTATTTTCTTTCAGGGCTTGGAATACTTTGCTCCAAGCTCTTCTTGATTTGATGATCTGTGTCGAGAAGTCTGCTGTGATTTTGATGGGTTTTCCTTTATTGGTGATCTGTTTCTTTTCTCTGGTGGCTTTTAATATTCTGTTCTTATATGGTATTTCTGAGATTTTGATTATTATATGTCTAGGTAGGGCTCTGTTTTGGTTGTAAGTGGCTAGAGTTCTGTATGCCTCATTTATCTGGATATTATTTCCTTTTCCTATAGTTGGGAAGTTTTCCTTAATTATTTCTGTGAGTAGCCCTTGTAGTTCCTTTGTTTGTACCCCAGCCTTGTCATTCACATTCTTTATTCTTAAGTTATAGATCTTGTCATCTTCTAGCCTTTGTATTGTTCCTGCCTGTTTCCTTGTTATTTTAAACCCACATTGCAAACCTGTCTTCAAGTTTTGATAGTCTATCCTAGTTTCTTTCAAGCAGTTTTGCCAGCTTTCAGTGGAGTTTTTTATTTCTTGGTAATCTCTTTGAACCTGCTTCCTGCATTCTAAGTTTTCTTTCTATTCTTCATCGAATGTTTCTCTTTTTTTTGTGTTCCTCCGTTCTTCTGTCTGTGTTTCTTGAGAGGTGCTGAGCATTTCTTTTATGAATCTACTTATATCTTGCTTTACTTGATTAAATATTACACTTGTCTATGAGGTCTTAAAGATATTTCTTTATGTCCACTGGTGCCATGTCTGATATTGCGTGTTTCCTGCCCTCAGTCTCTTTTGTATTTACCTCTCCTGGATCAATGTTCTCAGGGCAGGGAGCTGGGGACTTTTTCTTGTTTCTGGCTTTTGTCATGTTTTTGGTTTCTTCCATACAGGTGTATAGAGGAAGTCCCAGTCCCTTTCCTTGTTGGTTATGGTTCTTCCAAAGCGTGCTGGCTAGGGATTTCTGCCCCCTCCGGTGTTCTATTGAGGTGCAAACAGGGGCAATTATGCTGGTCCCTCCCCTCCAGTTCAGTCAACCTGTGGGGGCCTTCACTGCGTTTGTCTGCGCCATTAGTAGGGAATTGATTTGGGACAACTTACTGGGTCTCAGCCAGGGGTGTGACCTTCAGTGTGACTGCACTTAAGTGCGACTGCAGTTCCAGGGAGTCGAAGCAGCAGGAATTCGGGCGGCTCAATGAGTTGCAGCCGTGCGAGTTCAGGCACTGCAGCGAGAGCACCAAATCTTAGTTGTTCCAATAGTAGCCCTGGGACTGCATGTTTGACTGGTTTTTTTCCCCTTTAGTTTCTTCCTGTGTCGAGAGGATCCATCTCCTTCTGTCCGGGCCTCCCCACGATGTTTTATTTCGACATGTGAGTTGTCTGTTTGAGAGAGCCTCTGTATTGTGCTCTTATCTATCTGCCATCTTTGCTAAACTAAAACTCAGAATGTGAGTTCTAACCTTCCTTTCTACCTGAGGTTATTTAGGATGAATACACAGAAAAATGAGAAGTCAAGCATCCACTTTAGTTGGACAAGTTCCCAAGAACTGACCCCACAAAAAGATTTTATGTAAAAGCTATATTGCAGGAGAAGATTTAAATGTCTGGGCAGTTGCATTTGCATGGAAATCTGGACTGGCTTATGTACCCACTGTCAGCTGAATAGCCGAGGAGAGGACAATGGACAGACATCTGTTGCTTTCCTCTTGGAGACCAGAGGTATACGAGATGTCTCTTGTGTCTGAGCACATGCAGGTCCCAGAGAAGAGGAGCCTGCTTTTTTTTTTTTTTTTTTTTTTGGTCAGCCCCTACATGTAATACATGAACTCTACTCCTTAAGAAATATGACCCAAGGAATAGTAGACTCTCCTGAGTCAGATTACATATTTACTGTTCCTTCTGTGAGGATCAGTGAGTAGGTGATTGTCCTCTCCTTTACAGAAATGAGAAGATGGGTAAGTGGTAACCTTTAACACACTTGAACAAGGTCACTGACCTCTGTGA